ATAAGAGACAAGAAGGACATTAAAAAACAAACAAACAAACAAAAAAAAAAAACTTCACTGTCATCAAGTCGATTCTGACTCATAGTGACCCCCTTTGGGTTTCTGAGGTGGTAAATCTTTACAGAAGTAGGTTGCCCCATCTTCCTTCTGTAGAAAAGCTCGTGGGTTTGAACTGCCAACCTTCTGGTTAGCAGTCAAATGCCTTAGGCATCACGTCATTGGAGCTCCTTATATAATGATTGAAGGATCACTTGAACAAGAGGAAATGATCATAATAAATACCTACACACACAATGAAAAGCCCCAAAATCCATAAAGTGGACTTTAACAGACTTGAAAAGACAAATACATAGATGACTCTACAGTAATAGTGTGAGACTTTAATACACCATTTTAATAAGAGATAGAACAACTGGAACGAAACTGAACAAAGATGCAGAAGAACTAAATATGATCAAACAACTTGACCTTATAGACATGTATAGAGCACTTCACCCACCAACACCACGATATACATTTTTTCCCAGCACAAATGGAACATTATCCAGGACAGAACACATGTCAGGTTACAAAGAAAACCTCAATAAAATTAAAAACATTGAAATACTGCAAAGCATCTTCTCATATCACAATGATATAAAATTAGAAATCAACACTAGGAAGACTCATAGAAAAAGAGAAAACACATGGAAACTGAATAACATGCTCCTCAAAAACGACTGGGTAATAGAAGAAAAAATATTAAATAAAAAAATTCCTTGAATCAAATGAGAATGAAAACACAATATTCCAAAATCTTTGGGACACAGCAAAAGCAATTATCAGAGGGAATTTATAGTAATAGATGCACATAACAAAAAAGAAGAAAGAGCCAAAATCAACATCTTAACCCAACATCTTGAACAATTAGTAAAAGAGCAGCAGCAAAAAATATTAAAAAAAAAAAAAAAGCCTACCATCACCAGAAGAAAGAAAATAATAAAGACTCAAGAAGAAATAAATGAAACAGAAAATAGAAAGATAATAGGAAAAATCAACAAGACTAGATGTTGGTTCTTTGAAAAGATTAATAACGTTAACAAACCACTGGCAAATTTAATGAAGGAAATGATGCAAAGCACATGAATAAGAATGAAAGGGATGATGTCATAACAGAACTGATAGAGCTCTGTGCTTAAGGCATTTGACTGCTAACTAGATGGCTGGTGGTTCAAACCCACCAGCTACTTCTTGGAAGGAAAATTGGGCAATTTACTTCTATAGACGTACTGCCTCAGAAACCCAAGGAGGTGTTGCTATAAGTTGAAAAATGACTTGATGGCAGTGAGTTGTTTTTTTTTTTTTTTTTTTAAATGAAGAACTGTACTCCAATGAATTTGAAAATCTAGATAAGATGGACAGATTTCTAGAAACATACTACTTACCTAAACTAACATAGACTGAGGTAGAAAATTTGAACAGACCCATAACAAACGAATAAACTGAACAGGTTATAAAAAAAAAAATTACCAACAACAACAACAAAAAATCTTGGATTCAATGGTGTCACTGGAGAATTCTACCAGTCATTCAGAGAAGAGCTGACACCAATCCTACTCAAACTATTCCAGGACATAGAAAAGGATAAAATCCTCTCAAATTCATTTTTTGAAGCAAGCATAACCCTGATACCAAAACAGGTAAAGAAAACACTAGAAAGGAAAACTACAGACCAATATCCCTCGTAAATATAGATGCAAATATCTTCAGTAAAATCCTAGTCAATAGACTCCAACAACATATCAAAAACATAATACATCATAATCAGGTGGGATTCATACTAGGTATGCAAGGATGGTTCTGCATTAGAGAACTAATCAATGTAATCCATCACATTAGTAAAAGAAAATAAAAGAATCACATGATCATTTCAATTGATGCACAAAAGTTATTTGATAAAATCCAACATCCATTCCTTATCAAAACTCTCAGAAAAATAGGAATAGAAGGGAAATTTCTCAACATAATAAAGGGTATATATGTAAAACTAATAGCCAACATTATTCTCAATGGAGAAAGACTGAAACCATTCCCCCTGCAAACAGGAATCAGACAAGGATGCCTTCTATCTCCAATTCTATTCAACATCATATTGGAAGGCCTAGCCAGGGAAATATGGCAAGAAAAGGGAATCAAAGGCATCCAAATTGGAAGAAGTAAAACTATCTCTATTTCAGATGATATGATCCTATACATAGAAAACCCAAAAGACTCAGCAAGAAAACTACTGGAACTTATTGAAAGATTTAGCATAGTGGCAGGACACAAGTTTAACATCAAAAAATCAGTTGGATTCCCCTACACCAGTAAAGAGATTTCCAAAAAGGAAATAAGGAAATCAATACCATTTACAATATCTACCAAAAAGATAAGATACTTGAAAATAAATCTTACCAGGAACACAAAAAACTATACAAACAAAACTACAAAACACTACTTCAAGAAACTCTAAGAGTTCTACATAAATGGAAGAACATACCATGCTCATGGATAGGAAGATTGCACATTGTGAAAATGTCAATACTACCCAAGGCAATCTATATATTCAATGCAATGCTGATCCAGATTCCATTAACATTCTTCAAAGACATGGAAAAACCAATTACTAATTTTATATGGAAAGGAAAGAGATCTTGGATAAGCAAAGCACTATTGAAGAAGAAGAACAAAGTAGGACATTTCACTCTCCCAGATCTCAAAACCTACTATACTGCTATAGTTGTCAAAACAGCCCAGTATTGGTACATAAACCAGTGGAACAGAATTGAGAACCCAGAAATAGATCCATTGACATTTGGTCAGCTGATGTTTGACAAAGGGCCAAAGTCCATTAAATGAGGAAGAGATAGTCTCTTTCACAAATGGTGCTGGCAAAACTCAATATCCATTTGCAGAAAAATGAAACAAGACCCATACCTCACATTATACACAAAAAGTAACTCTAGATGGATCAAATGTGAAACCTAAAACTATAAAGTACATCAAACAAAAAATATGGGTAAACCTAGTGGCTCTAATTTATGGCATAAATAGACCATCAAGCATAACCCAAAAGGCACAAATAGAAGATAAATTAGATGATTGGGACCTTCTAAAGATTTACTTCTTATGTGCATCAAAAGACTTCTCCAAAAGAGTAAAAAGACAACCTACAGAATGGGAAAAAATGTTTGGCAATGACATATGGGGCAAAGAAGTTATCTCTAAAATTTATAGAAAACTCCAACAACTCAACATCAAAAAAGACAAATAATCCAATTAAAAAATGGGCAGAAGACATGAACAGACACTTCACCAAAGAAGATATTCAGGCAGCCAACAAACACATGAATAAATGTTCACGATCATTAGCCATTAGTTAGCTGTGAATTAAAACAGCCATGAAATACCATCTCAACCCAGTATTAATAACAAAATTCAATAAGACAGAAAATACAAATGCTGGCAAAGATGTAGCAAAATTGAGACTCTCACACATTGCTGAAGGGACTGTTGAGTGATACAATGACTGTGGAAATTGGTATGGCAATTCCTTAAAAAATTGCAAATAGAAATGTCATTTGATTCAGCAATCCCATTACTAGGTATATTATCCTGAGGAAGTGAGAGGCAAGACACAAATAGAGATACATGTACATATATGTTCATCGTAGCACTATCCAGAACAGTGAAAATCAAAAAACCCAAACTTACTGCCGTGGAGTTGGATCCAACTCATAGCAACCCCTCCTTGGGTTTCTGATGCAGTATCACTATGGAAGTAGATTGCCCAATAGTGAAGAGATGGAAAAACCTAAGTGCCCATCAACTGAGGAATGGAAAAACAAACTGTGGTATGTATACAGAATAGACAATAGAATACTATGAATAGTAAAGAATAATGTAGAATCTGCAAAACACTGCATAACATGGATGAACTTGGAGGACATAGTGCTTAGTGAAACAAATCAATCACAGAAGGACAAATATTGTATTAACCCACTATTGTAAAAGTCAAAGAAAGGATTATCACATGGCAGGAAATGTTCTCTGTTGGTTACCAGGGATGGGGGTTGGTGGAGATTCCTAGATGGGTTTAAAAAAAAAAAAAAAATATATATATACACACACACACACACACACATACACACATATACACACACACCCCAAAGATTATTAGTGGTTACCAGGGGTAGGAGGGAAAGGAAAAGGGGAAGCTTTTGTTTGCAGGGCATTGAGTTTTTGCTAATGGTGGTAGAATATTTTGGAAAAGGGTAGCAACAATGGTGACACAACATGAAAAATGTTATCAATGTCCTTGAGTTGTAACTGTAGAAGTTGTTATGTTGGTGAATGTCTTGTTGTGTATGTTTTAACCACAATGAAAGTAACAACAACAACAAAAAAAGCAGGGTTATACATGGAGAGGGGTCAGATCTGATTGTGCATTCAAGTTAAATTAATTAAAATATTAAAGCATATGTAACAGTTAATTTTATGTGGCTAGGCTATAGTGCCAATTATTTGCTCAAATTATTAGTCTAGATGTTGCTACAAAGGTGTGTCCATATGATTATCATTTGAAATTGTCCTTAAGTCAATAACCTTTCACAATGTGAGTGGGCTTCAAGCAAACAGTTGAAAGCCTTAAGAAAAAAAATTCAGGTTTTCCAGGGAGGTTTCTGCCTCAAGGCTGTAACTTAGATTTCCTGTCGGAGTTTCTACCTGTCAACTGTTCCATGAACTAGGGACTTTCTAGCCCCCATAATTGCATGAGTCAATTTCTTAAAATAAATTTCTCTCTAAATAACTTATAAGCTCTGTTTCTCTGGAAAACCCTGACTAATACAATATGTAAAAGTGAAATATGAATAATATACTTGTTGAAGTCCTAAACCACACCCATAGGACAATATTTCTGTGAAACACATTTAGCTAGTCTGTGTAAGTCAGGCGAGGCTGAGAAATAACACTCTACTTACCGATGAGGTACATGCCGATCCAGTCTCCAGCATCCACTTCCTCCTTTATGTCCCAGTGTATCACCAGATCTTGTGAGTGGCCTATGGAATAGTAGGAGCTGCTGACCATGAGTGTGGAGCGGCTGTCTGAGGTGACTAGGTCAGTATCACTGGTGGAACGAGGGATGGTCACAGGGTCATGAGGGCCATTTCTGATGTCCACGTTGTTGAACTGGTCAGGATTATAGCTATAACGGAGTGGCTCCTTGCACCGGCGCCGGCTCTGTGAGTTCCTGGATGGAGATGCCATGGCGGCCAGGCCCAAAAACCTGTTCTGGTAGAGATTCTGTTGGGGCAAACAGACAACAAGCAGGTCAGGTGATGCCAGCAACAAAAGATATGCTGGAAGAAACCATCCATTAGCAATCTTCCCTCCTTGGTAGACCTGAAACACAACAGTGTACATCCTCCTCATGACAAATTCTGTAGCTCTAGGTTCAAACAGGGAAGTTGAGAACAAAAATATGGGTTCACCAAGGGGTCATCTATTGCCATACTCTGTTGGGGTCTCTGCCTCTCACAGCTTCCGCTAACCTACCTGAGGTTATCAGAAGGTCTGTAATGTGTGCAGAATGGCCCTAAAGAAGTGAGAGCCCCCAAAGAAAGTATCATCTCTTGAGTTCCCCAAAATAAATTCAATTGGATCCAACTGTATCCTTCTTTAGGGTATATGATGGTTATTATCACTGAACATTTTAGCAATTCCTTTGCAGCATTCAAGTTCCCACACACAGCCCAGAACAACAGGTAGTATTTTCTGGGTGAGGGGATCATTATTCTTCATTTACAACACTTTCACTTATAGAATGTCTCCAGGTCATCTGAAATTTCTATTAAGAATTCAGCCACCCCAGTGATTTTTCTTGAACACTACAATTTTCAATTAAATTCAATCTCAAAGGACTATTTCTTCCTTGGAGTCAATGCTATTGTACAAAACATTGAACTTTATGAGAAAAATTCATGTTTATAACATTGAGCACTGAGAATGAGTTGATATGATACAGAGCTATAACTATTGTTATAGTTATGCAGATTAGATAACTATATTAATATTTTTAGAGTTATGTAGATGCAGATTACCTTTAAACCACAGAAGAAAGAGCATCACATAGACTTGTACAGGCAATCATTCTGAAACAAGCAAGGAGATTCTGCCTTAATCAAAGTATACTAAAATTGGGTTTAAATGTACAACTTTAGGTTTCCTGGCTATAAATGTATATTCTGTTTTATAGTAACACTTTGTCTTTTAAGAAGAGAAAATTAAGGCCAAAAAAAAAAAAAAAAACTATTAAATCATACAGTTTAGACCCTAGGGATTTACACATCAATCAGTGCAAGTTACTGACCTTTTGTTTACCAGCCATGAGGACCAGACCCAGCAACAGTCTATTCTAAATTATATAAGTCTATTTAGCAGTAATTTAGGCCTGCATTTTCTGTCTTCTAAGACCAGGACACTTGTAAAAAGTCCATTAACCTGATAAAGCATGGAGTTGGCATTCTGAGTCTCTTAAAGGCCATGTGGCAGACATTTTCATTCATTATTTGTGTCTCTTGTTAGGAATTCTTCTAGCCCTGCTGACAGTAACCATGGCATTACTATGTGCAGAAAAGCCACACTTCAAAAAGCATTGCATCACACTATTGGTGCCATATGTCCTATTTTAAAAAAAAGTTCTTGTCACTATGATGGTATGAAAATAGATGGATCATATGTTGCCTGGAAACCAGCCCTCCTCTCAGGAAGACAGGCCAAGTGCTGAGGCCAAGGATAACTTGCCCCTCTCACAGGCCCCATAGCGATCTGGGTGGGCTAGGGAGGATCTCAGGAAACTAACCATCTTTCCCAAAATTTGTAATGAAACACTAGTCCCTATACCTGTGGATAAGGAGCCCTGGTGGCAGAGTACCTAAGGCATTTGAGTACTAACCAGAAGCCTAGTGGTTCAAATCCACCAGTCACTCCTTGGAAGGAATACTGGGCAATCTACTTCTGTAGAGGTATCACCTCAGAAACCCAAGGAGCAGTCACTGAGTCACCACTGACTCAGTGGCAGTGATTTGGTTTTTGTTTTTTATACCTGTGGATATGATCCAGTTTGGAAATAAGGTCTTTTGTTATGCTAATTAGATCATGACTGTATAGAATGTGTTCTAAATCTAATCACCTCTGACTTCTAAGGGAGAGTAGATTAGACACAGAGGTATATACACAAGGCGAGGACAGACATCATGTGAGGATCAAGTACAAGCCAAGGAGTCAAGGAACCAAGTAACACCTAGGACTACCTAAAAGGAAGGAATTAACACACTGATAGACTGATTTGAACTTTTAGCCTCCAGAATTGTGAGAGAAAAAAAAATTCTGTTGTTTAAAGCCATCCACTTGTGGCATTTCTGTTATAGCAGCACTATGTGACTAAGACAAGGGCTATGGCCCGAGATCTTTGTAAAATGTCTTAACATATAAAGGCTGCTACAGAGGATAAACTTATTTCAGTTTATGTATACTTTATGTGGACCAACATCATCTTACAGTATTAGTATGAAGATTAAAAAAATACTTGAAATTAAATGAAATAATCACATACATACTTATGGATTTTTGCTTTGGAGTTAGATCAAATCATGTTTAAAGCCAGGGTAGCACCTATCACTTTCCCAGCTGTGTGCCCTTGGGTAACTTACTTAACCTTTCTGGACCTCAGTTTCCTCCTCTGTAAAATGAAGTTCTCAAAATTTAAGGACACAATGCAAGTCAAGGTCTTAGCTTACAAGTGCTTAATAAATTCAAACCATTACTACTATTATTGTTTATCAGCAAAACCTCACTGGAACAGAGGTACCAGACAGTCGGCAAGGGTGAACTCATTGGCCAAATGGCCCTTCACATGATCAGTAGTGTCCTCACAGTTAAAATTCATTTTGCAACAAACCTATAAATTGCTTCTTATAAACTAGAAATTGTAAATGTTCAACAGCTTGGTGTATTTGTAAATTTGTAAATATGTCAATTTTTAAGTTTTTTGCTTGAGTAGGATATTTTGCCTTAGTGTTGAGGAGGCTGAAAGACAGAATTTTATCTACATAGTTTTGATCAGTGCCTCAAAAAGATTACAACATGTTTCTGTTTTGTTGAAGAAAAAAATTTTATGTGGTAAACTGTCAAATTACACCAGTGATCACTGTCCACATGGTGAGAACAAAGGTATCAAAAGAACATTAGTTAAGGAGGATGTTTGTTGGTAGTTTACTGGCTTAGAATAAAGACATGTATCTTGAATGAGAAGGCCAGCCTCTGAGCTGTTACTTGAAGACTATGCTCCCCCAGCCTTTCATATCTTGGCACATGTCCACCCCATCACACTTGCAGGAAAGATTTGGACTTCTCTTTCAAGATTATGCTCCAGCACCAACTCTGCCATAACCTCTTATTGTATCCTTCCCCATGCCCAAGAGACAAGGGCATTCTGCTTTGTGATTCCACAGGAATGCCTTTCCCCTGCAAGGATTCCTATTGTAGTCCTGCTAATGGACGTATTAGACCCTTGAGGCCAGTGTTTCTCGTTTCTACTTTTTTTTAATCCCCTGCATTTGGCACAATTCCTGGCACATAGAAGTCCCTCAAAACTTTGACAGAATTTGTTTTATTCAATCATACCACTTCTTGTTCCAGAGAGGTTATATGGTGAACTTATAAAAATAGATAAAACACAGAAAGATACTATCATCTCATAGTAGGTGGTGCAGAGAGAAGTATATAAAGAGAGGGCAAAAAAATATGTAAGAAAGAGGCTAACATAAAACTGCATCCCATCTTGTCCTGAACACATATATTGTTAAAAGACTCACAACAGTTTCTTAAATGCAGCAGGGGAACAGAGTTGGTTGCCCAATATTTGAGTCCCTCATGGCCATGTTTTTTCCAGGTATTCACAGATGCACCAAGCTTACACTATAGGATCATTGAACTGCAAGGAGAAATTGAATCATTCTCCCTTCACATCTGAACTGTGGGAGATAGATGAAGATCTGCTCTGTTTTCACATTGCCCTAGATAATAGACCACTTTCTTCGTAGACAGTAATTACCATGTTTTACAAGGCTGAAATTCTTCCTTACTTCTAAGGCAAACTCATCTGATAATAGAAGACCTCCTTTCTCTTTCCTCTCTGCAAAAGGGTGGTAGGACTCTCTCCATGCTCTTTCTGAACAGAAAGTCAATGCATATCCCTAAATTGCTCCCAGATTTCTTTCCATTCTACCGCGTAATTCAGGCATCTTATACTTCTTCCTACCATTGGTTGGAGAAGTGGTAGAATCCTTGCCTTTCCTACGGGAGATCAAAATTCAATTCTTGGCCAATACCCCTCATGCGCAGCCACTACCCCTCTGTCCATGGAGGATTCCATGTTGTTATGATGGTGAACATTTTTAGAGCTTTTAGACTAAGATGGACCAGGGAGCAAAGCTTGGTGATCTACTTCCAAAAATGAGCCAATGAAAACTGATCACAATCGTATGATCCACAACTGATCATGAGCATAGCCCAGGCCTGAGTAGCATGTTGGTCTGTTGTACATGAGGTTACCATGAGTAAGGGTCAATTTGATGGTAGCTAACAAACACAATCTCACTTATAAGCAACATGACATTAATAAAAAGATCACAAGGATATCAGCAAATGTTTCAGTAACACTGGAATTTTCAAGTTATTGGTTATAATCAAGAGTTTATAGTCATAGGCTATGTTAATCATAGATTTTAATTGATCACTGAAAAAGAAGGTCAAATGAGAGAATCACTGAAAACAGTGTAATGCCATTGTACAAACAGCTCCACTCTATACTGAATGAGATTCCATCTGTTGTTTTTTTCCCCATTTTGTAGCAGAGCATCCATCATGATGTTTTATTTATTTGTTTTGTTTTCCAGCTTAAATAGAATTATAATTATTGAAATGTTTTGTTAATTAATTAATATGTTTTTGAAATAAAAAAAAATCTTGGAATAAGCCTTGCATGTTTGATAAATTTTAAGATAGTACAGCACGTTAGCAAAAACAAAACCTTCTTATGAAAAGAGAATCTTAGAAGCAGAAAATTGTCACTTCTAGGTAGGGACAACATTGTTATGCTTTTTTTTTTTTTTTTTTTTAAGTACAGAGACAAAAGATTGTGCTGTGTCAATTTCTATCTGACAGTCATTAATAGCTCTTCTGTTTTGAAATATAAAGCAATGAGTGAATGCTGGGAGCTCTGGTAGCATAGGGGCTAAGAC